ATTAGAATAGTAATCGATACGAAAGTAGATGGCGGTAGGATGTAAAAATCTTTTTGCAAAAGTGACATTTCAGTACAAAATACGTTTTGATATTCCTACCCGATTAAAATGGCATGAAGAGGAAATGAATAAAAATACAATATTTAATAACAAAGATGAGTTATTGAAATATTGTATAGAGGATGTGAATATTTTGAAAAAGGCCTGTTTAAAATTTAGAAATTTGTTGCATACAATTACGGGTGTTGAGCCATTTTATCAAACTACCTTGCCGGGCACAACAATGCAAATATTCACTTCGCTTTTCATGAAAAATCAGCAAATATCCATTATACCACGAAATGGATATAGGTTTTCAGATAATCAATCTGTTAAAGCCATAAAGTGGCTTGAATGGGAGGCCAATGTAAGAAAACTAAAAATTCATTCGGCAGCAAACGGACGTGAAGTTCGTATAGCCAATGATATATTAGTTGATGGATTTGCTTACCCCAACAAAGTATTCAGTTTTTTGGGGTGTTATTGGCATCAATGTGTTGAATGTTTTCCCAATCAATATCACGCGAATCCTGAAAGAAATTCAAAATTAAGTCTTCTCTACGAATCGACTATATCACGTGCCAAGAAAATACGTGCACTTGGATTCGAACTGATTGAAATATGGGAGCATGACTTTGATGCAATGTTAAAAGAAAACCCTGAAATAAATGAGTATATTATTACTCTGGATCACTTAAAAGTCGATCCACTGAATCCACGGGATGCATTCATGGGAGGTCGAACAGGTGTTTGCAAAATGTACCACAAAGTTGCCCCTGGTGAAAAAAATTTCTACAAAGATGTGACCTCTTTGTATCCATATATAAATAAGTATGGCAAATATCCAATTGGAGTCCAAAAATTCTGCTTGGGTCAGATCTTGAAGGCCGAAACGTATTTAACATCGATGGTGTGATAAAGGCCGATATACTTCCACCAAAAAGATTGTTTCAACCAGTACTTGGTATAAAGATGCACAATAAGTTAATATTTTCATTATGCTATTCATGCACCAAGCAATTAAATGTCGGTGAATGTAGTCATACACCTGACGAGCGAATGATACGAGGTACATATATCGCTGATGAACTAAGAGTGGCAGTAAATAAAGGTTACCATGTCAGAAAAATATATGAAGCCTGGGAATATGAAATGACTCAGTACGACAAAGTAACCAAAAAAGGTGGATTGTTTGCTGAATATATAAATACTTTTCTAAAAATAAAAACAGAGGCCTCGGGGTTTCCTTCATGGTGTAAAATCAGATCTGATGAATTGAAATACATCGCTGATTTCGAAAAGCATGAAGGCATGAAATTAGAGCATGTCAAAATAAAAAAGAATGAAGGTTTACGTAGCTTAGCTAAGCTAGCCTTGAATAGCTTTTGGGGGCGTCTCGGCATGAGAGATGATAAAACAAAAAAGGTAATCGTCAAGACTGCCAATCATTTGTTAAATTTAATGACTAACCCATCATTTGAAGTGAATACTTTTTTTGGATTGGACGACGATTCGCTGCTTGTTTCATACAAACATCGTATTGATTGCGTGCAGGAAAATCCAAAAACAAATGTAGTATTAGCGGCATATACTACAGCGTTGGCAAGATTACATTTATATATGTATCTTGATAAGCTGCAAACTCGCGTATTATATTATGACACTGACTCTGTCATTTATACATGCAAACCTAATGAAGAGCCGCTACCAATAGGTGACTATTTGGGTGATCTTACTGACGAATTAGACGGAAACTATATTTCAGAAGCTGTTTTCACAGCTGAAAAGAGTTACGCGTTCGTCGTTAAAGAACCCAATAAGCCCGACAAGATTGTATGCAAAGTCAAGGGAATTACTTTAAATTATACTAATGCAAAATTAATCAATTTTGAAGTAATGCGAAATTTAGTTTTAAGTAAATCAAATGCCTACATTAGCTTAGAAAATGATGGTATATTCCGCACACAAGACAGTAAAATTTATACAGATATTAAAAAATATAAATTTAAGGTAAATGGAAATAAAAGAATAAGAATTGGTAGTGATAAGATAGAAACTAGACCGTATGGTTTTCTGTAAATTAGTAAGTAAGAAATGACAATAAAATCAAATTTATTCTTGTTTAAAACAATCCCTACATTTTTTATTATTTTTTTAAATAATTATACATATTTTCTATCACTAGATCGTTTACAAATAAATTTTTCGCGAACTTGATCATAAATGCCTGAATGGTATAATTTTTTAATATTGAAATTGCAAATACACAACAAAATTTGCCACATTTAATTGAAGTTATATGCTGAATTTGTTTCTTGTTATAATTTATTTGACGTGAATGCCTTTTGACAAATCTTAATATATGAATATTTTTCAATGGAAGACCAAAGCTATCAAAATAATATCCTAAACCTTTCGAACTTATATAAATAGTAATCCAGTGGGAACCTGGTTCGTATTGTGGAGACAAATTAACTATAAAAATTGCTGGTAAAGTAAAGTTATTTGGTAGTGAATCACACGGAAACACACCTTTGAATATGTTTTTTTTTTTTGATATGGTGCAACCGTTCTTATAATTGATATTGTATCCATTTTTTAGCTACTATAGTCTAAAATAATATTCCGGTTCTTATCTACTTCAATCACGTTATCAAATTCAGCAAATATGATAAGGTTAACTGTACTTTTCAAGGCCTCAGCAAATCGTATTTCTGCTCTTAATGTTCCACTTTTTATGATGTTCCAATGAGACTCACTACACGAAAGGTCGGGAGTAAGATCAAATGCAGCCAAACAATAACCGTTAGGGTAATCAGCATGGGAAATTGATTCGCCGCAAAAGCAAACAATCAAGTCAACGAAACAGAAAATGCCATCACTAACTCCAAGAAAAAGAACCAAAAAAACCGACGACGACGAGTTATCAAAAAAAAACAAAAAATCAGGTAATTGATAACATTTATTTTTCTTTTTAAAAATTATTGCTATCAATTAATATTTTTTTCATTTTTCTATTCGTAGTTGAACAAGGTGCACAAGATGATCAAGTTGAAATCGATGACGGAGGACAAACTACCGACACCGTACAAGTTACTGACACCGTACAAGTTACTGAAGGAGGAGAAATTCATGATCATGAATATTCAAAAAAACCAGAAGTTTTTGTTTAAATTATCCGTGTGACATTAGATAACAAAAATTTGAAAAATAAATCTGTTTTTTCCATATATATAAAGACAAAAATTTGAACAATAAATCTGTGGTATTATTTATTCACTCTCTCTAAAAAATGTGATTATGTGAAATTACATATTGTTTGGTTATGTCATCACCCTAAATTTGGTTATGTGGGAACTCTTTCAAAAATCTGGTTATGTCAATGAAAAAATTTTGTTATGTAGAATTACATTTGACAGATGACATGACAGCTACCAACTGACATGTCATCTGTCAAATTTGACAATGCACTTCGCACCGCCATTTTGGTAATTTGATACCAAAATGGCGGTGCGAAGTGCATTACATTCTACTTATATTATATCCACTTTTGCGAGACTTACGAAATTTATCGGAAAATGGAATTCAAATGATTTATGATAAAAATCAATACAATTTTTTGCCGAAGTTAATTTATAGTAGTTGTGATTTGCCAGCGAGAGCACATCTACAAAATTTCAAATATCCAACCGGTAAGAATGCGTGCTCGATATGTTTACATCCCGGTATTTCAAACAAAGAGGATAGAATCCGAATTCGATACGGGAAAGAGGATGTTCCATCAAATCTACGAACTCATTCTGGGACCATTTCTGATGCATGCAAAGGGATAATTTCGAACGGTGTACATGGTAAGAGCTGCTTGATGGCGCTTCCTGATTTCGATTTAATTAATTCATTTTCAACCGATTACATGCACGGCGCACTTGGAGCGTTCAAACGTCTTCTTTTAATATTTCTTGGAAAACACAAAGTCAACACACAATTTCAAATCCATATCCAAATCAAATCAAATTATACTCAATCGTCGGATAACGTCACTGAAACCTTATTCCCGTATAAGACATAAGCCTTGTAAACTTGATGATCATGGAATTTTCAGGTCAATTGAATATAAATATTTGTTGTTTTTTTATCTACGATACGCATTGCGTAATTTGATCGATATTCAATACATCAAACACTTTGAACTTCTTTCTGCTTCAATTTATATTCTGTGCAAAGAAAAAGTTAAAGAAGAAGACATACAAATAGCAGAAAATATGTTATGCAATTTTTGCGACTTATTCGAGGCATTTTACGGTCTAAGTGCAGTCACAATGAATATACATTTGTTGAGACACTACGGTCATATTGTACGCCAAACTGGACCTTTATGGTGCCATTCATGCTTTGGGTTTGAGACAAATATGGGAATTTTAACGAAATATTCATTAGGTGGTTTTCACGTTCTCGATCAAATCACTGAAAAATATATAACATCAAGGAGTAACACTGCAGAAGTTCCACCCAAAAGGACTGAATTATTTTCGGTCAACAACAAAATTACAAACGATCACGATCACATTCTGATGCAGTATGGAATAGAAAACTATTCGAAAACAGCCACTATAACAATTGGGAAAACAGTATTCAAATCTTTATTTAGCGCAACTACAAAATCAATAGATCATTTTCTTGAATTGATTGATGGCACAATTGGATCGGCTGTTTTTTATATAGTTGCTGACTCAAAATATTTTGTTTTGATAAAAGTATATAATGTTCAGAAGAAAAATTATCACATGACTGAAATTGTTGCAACAGAAAATATTATTGTTTGCCCATTTGAATTGATTAAGGAAAAATTAATATATCTCACTTTTGGAACGACTGAAATAGTAACAAAAGAGCCAAATAAATTTGAAAAATCTTAAAAAAGTTTTATTTCATTTCATTCTGTTATTGTTGTTTTTTTTTCAGAGCAATTATTTCGATTTTACATCGCATGTTTTTTTCAGTCGTGAAACTTGTTTTATTATGTATATACATTGAATACACACACCATATAAACTGAACACGATGTGAGTTGAGTACAAACAAATTTACATTCAAATACGCAAAGCAATTTGATACAGCAGCCACTTACCCATATATATTCATTTTACAGTGATGTTTTATTTCAATTTTTTTTTTGAATCTCTCAAGAATGAATAAGCATGTGTACAGCATTCAGTCGTTACATTTTTTGTTTCTTTAAATTTTATTGGGAACTTTTTTTTATTGCGATTACATATTTTGATTTAAAATAAAAATCATATTTTCTAAATCTTATTTTTAGAAGTAAATAATGGAAAAATTTAAGGTTGAAAAATGAAATGGAAATATGAATAGAAATGAAATATTTAATTTCATGCGAATAATAATCGTTTGAACTACTTTGGATCGCAGTTTTCCTTATCATTGCTCGACATCATTGTTGATGACGCAAGTGGATCCCATGTACTATTGCTTTGCTGCAAAACACGGCTTTGAAGTGCATTCACATGGATACGTAGATTTTGATTTTCTTTCAACAAGACCGCGATAACATGTTCCATGTTCGATGTTCCTTGCGGCTCCTGTTTGACTTTTATTTCACCCAGAGAAGTCTCATCGTCTGAAATCACAATGATCTCGTCTTGATTGGCCATGACAATTGCGTTTGCAAGTGAATCAACTGGATGTTTGAGCTCAACTTCCGAAATGTTTCCTTCATTTGACGAGTGTTGTTCGTTCGAAATTGCTGCATTGCTTGCAACATCAAGATTGGGCTGAATAGCAGCTGGAATTTCTTGCCAAATTTCGTTTGGATCGAATACAGTGGCTACATTACCCGACACATTTGAAAGATCATTAGATATGTTCATTTCGTGGCAAACAACCATCATATCACCA